CTATCATCTATCTATCATCTATCTATCTATCTATCTATCTATCTATCTATCTATCTATCATCTATCTATCTATCATTTATCTATCTATCTATCATCTATCTATCTATCATCATCATCATCATCATCATCATCATCAATCATCTAGCATCTATCTATACCAGCTAATAAGCACAAACTAGGTCAAACCAGACGAACCTAAACCTCTCCCTATCATATGACTGACTAAAGGTAACAAGTCCGAAATTCAAATTAATGCACCCCATTTCTGGGAGAGGAGGCTTTGGGTGAGATGACTCTGAAAATCATAGGTAGCAATAACTAAGCCCCATAGCTAAACCTACTGCAATGTGTTTCAAGTGCCTTTCTGTCTGGAATGCGTGGGTAACACATGCAACTGGGACAGGAGAGATGGGAGAAGACAGCTAGAACAGGTACAGGTGGATACAAATACTGAATAGATGAACCATTTTTTTTTTAAAGCATTAAGGACTTTTTTGGGGGTCTTGGTCCTATCGCATTCTCCTGCTGCTAAGACCAGATCTCTTTTGATAGCTTTGTTTAGGGATGCACTACTCTTTCCTTACCACACAGAGAAGCCAGAAAGAGTCCTGCTGGGAAATATCTGATATAATAATGGGCATGATAAACATTTGAAACTGGGTGAATGGTCCCTGTGTTCTTTGGGAGTCTTCCATAATAGTTGATATTGATTTTTTAATGAGAGAAAAGCTGACAAAATGCAGGCTTTTATGGGAGTGAACTCAGCCAGCAAAACTCTTGGGTCTCCTACAGATGTTACTTTCAAGCAAGATGGGAATTACACAGATTATTTTTTCCCTGCTTTTCCCAAGGGGGAATAAAACACCACAGATATCTGGCAACAAGATGCTTTCTGTTGAGGATGAGCCATTAGCTCTGCATTGAACCAGCCGAATGCCTGTGTCTCATGATCCTGGATACTGATCATTCACAGAACCCAGACTTGATGACCTGTGCCAAGCATTTCTCAACTTGTAACTGGGTTATGTTGTTGTGTGCTGAACTGCGTTTAAAGACGTTAACCCAAACAGAATGGAGAGAAAGAGGGACTAAGTGCATATGGAGAAAGTGGTTTTTCACAAATTTAAACTTGCTTTTAAACCTTCCCTGATTACTTTATCTAGAGTTGCATAAGATGTACAGCGGAGGGAAAGAAGGAACTGGGCATAGCTGACTGGAAACGGAGGCAACGACACACTGCTGCTCTGCTTGTATCCATCCACAAGGTTAAACGGTCCACACTGCCCCTGATGTTGATTCCAGTGTCTGCAGCAGTGTAACCCTAAGATAATATGTTTAAACTTTGTACATGAATCCGCTGCTAATATTTTCCTTTTATCTTAAAAGTCAAACCTGATTCAATTAAAACTCAGGTAAATTTCTGAATATCTTACATACCAGAAACTTTGAATAATTTATTTTAAATTTATATGAGAAATTATTTCAAAACATGACTAAAGTGTTATATATGGACTTCTTTTAAAATTTATTTATTTATTATTTATTGTGTGTATGTGTGTGTGTGTGTGTGTGTGTGTGTGTGTATGTGTGTTTGTATGCCACATGTGTGCAGGTGCCTATGGAGGCCTGGAGCTGGAGGTACAAGCAGATGTAAGCTGCCAAATGCGACTGCTGAGAACAGAATTCAGGTCCTTTCCAAGAGCAGCAGGTGCTCTTAACCACCGAGTCATCTCTCTACCCCTCTACTTCTTTTCAGTGACATATATTACATTTTGTTGTTATTTTGGAGACAGGATGGCCTTGAACTTGCAATCATCTTGCCTCAGCCTCTTGACTGCTCTGTTAACATGCTTAGCCTAATATCTAATTTAAACTTTTTAATGATTAATATGTCACGCGTCGAATCTTTTTAAAAGGAGTGCAGAAAGTTTATTTTTTATTTTTCTAAAAATATTTTATTTTTTATTTTACATGTATGAATATATTGCCTGCATGTTTGCAAGTGCACCCCTGTCATGCCATGCCCGCACAAGTCAGAAGAAGACATCGGAGTTCCTGGAACTGGAGTTACAGACAGCTGTGAACCTCCACATGGGCGCTGGGACTTGAATCTGAGTTCTCTGCAAGAATAGTCAATGCTCTTAACTGCTGAGTCATCTTTCCAGGCACACAGAAGTTTTATTAAACAAACAAAAAATCTAAACAAAGGCTTTTTATTTTTGGAAGAACCCCTTTTTTATTTGTCTCCCTTGCTTGGTTGTTTTCCCACATAATTTTAGTGTCACCTGAGAAATGGCTGAGAAATTGGTGGCTTTCTTTTCTGGAGTGTGTGTCTGGTTAAGGTGCCTGTCATTATTGGAACTACTCCTTTATGCATACCACTGTAAACATTATAGATGCTGGACACCTCTGCTACTTATATGCGCACATCTTATCATCATTACTCAACTGAAAATGTAAAATATCTGACTGGATCTTATGTGTTAATACATCTTTTATAGTTTCTGGTATATGGGCTTAGACGTCATAGAATTTCTCTTTTGTCATAGAATCATCCTGTTACAGACTATAAGCCATCCCATAACTTCAACAAAATCTAAAGGAACTGAGATCCAGAATGCACATTCAATATGAATCACTAGTTATTACTGGAAAGCCATCTTGGAGATTCTGGAACCGGTCAGAATGTTATCATCCAGTTTACACAAGAAGAAACCAAAATGCTTTTTATATGAAAGATGTTTATAATGTTTTTAGATTTCCTTATTTTTAAGGAATAGAGAAACAAGGTGACCCTGACATTTATAAGTTAAAGCAGAGTCCAAGTCTTCATTGCAACAAAGTCAACATATATTCAGTGCTATCCTGTAGACGTTTCAGGCGATGATGGAAGTTTTTCTATCTGTGCTGTCCAATAAGGTGACACTAACCACGTGCACCCTTTGAGTACTTGAAAAGTGAGGCGAGTGAGGCCTGGGGATGTGGCTCAGTGGTGGAGCACATGTGTAGCAATCCCCAGAAAAGAAGAAGACAAAATAAATAAAAGCACACAAAACAAAAAAAAACTTGAATTGTAGAAAAGTAACTAGTGAGATTGAGGAACTGAAGTTTTGGCTTTAATAAACACTAATTTAAATTTTAATGACTACATATGACTGTAGGATACTATATCGAACAGGGTTCTTTTAATTATTAATAACTTTAATTAATATATTAATCAAGTATTAAATTATAACTATCCAGGCACTGCCAAGTATGAATGAAAACAACTGATTATTAGTTGACTTTTGAGACAGGGTCTCATGTAGCTCAGGCTGGCCCCAGACTTGCTTTGCAGTGAAGGATGACCTTGTTCTGAGCCCCTGCCTCCTCCTCCTGGGCTCTGGGATTACAAGTGTGCACTACCAGGCTGGGTTATCTGGAGTGGTAGGTAAGCACCCTGCCAACTGAACTATCACTCTAGCCTGATAGTATTTACATTAACTTAACAATGATCTTGCATAATCACATTAATAAATTGAGCTCTACTAGATGATGGGTACTGTCCTAAATAGTTTATAGTAATTATCAGTTAGAGCTGTAAAATTTAAACAATTAATGCTTTGCATAGGGACTGGTCCATATGAAGCATTCACTACTAGATTGTTTACCCATTAGTTCTATAAGATAGAAGCTATTATCTTCATGTAATACATAAGGAAATGGTTTTTAGGATTAAGTATAATGTACCCAAAAGAATGTAACCAATAAAGTGCCAAGCTGACATTCAAAACCAGTGAGGCCCAACCTCACAAGGTTTGTCCCCTTAACAACTATTTAGCAGAATTAAAAGCTCTAAGCCAGTCGTGTGTGATTGATTCCAAACTCCACACTGATGGGCCAGTGGTTTGTTCCTCTCCTACAGACTGTGCATGTATGTACTCAAATAAATCATATCTTTCTTTTAAGTTCTTTCTGTCAAGTTCCTCTTCCCTCACACTGTGTGACTTTTTTCATTTCTTTGTGTTGGATAGTGGAATTAAACACTTGAATTTTCCCTCTTGGTTGACAGAAGAGATAGGGACATGGTTCATAGACCCAACATATAGGATTAAATTCATCAGTCTCTGGTGCAATCACTAATAAGTAGTTTTAATTTTTGACCCTAAGTTTCTTAATCTGAGAAATGGTCAGGTGTTCAGAAATTGGGACAGGGAGCCTGGACACAACTCTGCTTGTTCTACATCATGAGGCTGACATGATGTATAAATGGGATAAGATTTTAAGAGAGTTTTGAAAAATTCTAAGGCACAATGCAACTGTAAACATTTTTTTTTTTAAATTTTAAGGTTCATTTTTATTTTATGTGTATGAATGTTTTGTCTGCATGTATGTAAGTGCACCATTTGTGTGCAGTGTCCACGGACGCCAGAGAAGGTGCCAGATCCTCTGGGACTGGAGTTACAAGCAGTTGTCAGCAGCCATGTGGATATTGGGAACCGAACCTGTGTCCTCTGGGGGAGCACCAAGTGCTCTTAACCTCTGAGCCATCTCTCAAGCACTCCTGTAGACATTTACTGTGATCACCTCTGAATGCATCAATACTGTTGTGACTAGCCATGTTCCAGTTGATAACTATGAACTAACATATTGAATTATCAAGAAATGTGTTTAGAAATTGTGCCATGGCTCTCTTGTTTGCTCCTTTTTGAGTAGCCCTTTGGGAAACTCTAAGCCATTAGCAAAAATGGACTACTGAAAGAGAAAGGAACGAAGTTTATGATTTTTGTTATTTCTCCAAGGGACTTACCATTTCCAGCAGGTTCAAGAGGAGCTGGCTGTGTTTTCTGATAATATTATAAGCTCTGCAACAAAGTTCCACAAAGTCTTGGAAATGCTGTGTATTTTTTCCACCATCTGTAATAAAGTACTCCATCTCTGAAGTAAAAATGAAAGGGGCTCGGTCCCTGTAAAGCAAAATAAATAGCAGCCATGAGGGGAAACAGTTTGTAGGGATCACGTAGGCCGTGAGGAAAATTTATTCCACTTGAATTTTCTTATTGTTTTCTCTCTTCTCCAGTGTGAATCTCCTCCATTGTGGGAGGAGCTTAGTAATTGAGGGCTTTGACTAGCCGGCCAGCAACTGAGGACAAAGCATAATATGTGTTAACTATGCTGATCTATATTGTTTCAAATGTTTTATTTCAAAGTACATTTGGAATCTACCTATATCTATTAAAAATATATAAAGTCCAATTAACAGTAAAATCAATGCCTATGTAAAGACTTTATAGAAAGTGTATTCACTGACTAGTTTTGAAATGATAAAACAGATCTTGAGTTTGACATTATAGTACTTTAAAAATCATTTTCTTCCTGACCCTTTAGGAAGAAAGTTGGGGTAAAAGTTAAGATGTTGTAATGATAAATTATTTCAGAAGACAATTTATGAAACAACAGCAACCAGCTGTAATAAATTTATTATCATAGACTTATAACAGGGGATTAAAAAAAGTAACCATATATCATTTCACAAAGGACGTGTGGTGAGAATGCTGAGAAAGCAGGAAGACCATGCTAATACATAAGTAATACTGCCCCCTGTCGTCCAAAGAGAGAAAAACAGGCTCCATTTCCCTGACTCAGCCTTTGAGATATGGCAAATCTTAAGACAAAGTGTTATCAGTTCTAGGAGAAGCAGGCCGAGTGAGACCAGAAACATCTTTATCTGATGAGCACTCGTCACATAGATCAATGTGGGGGACAGTGATTTTATATCACTCTTTTTCTAGGGTCTTTTAGCAGCGTTTGAGATGGGAATATAGTTGTGGGTAAACATGTTTTAAATTTGAGAGCCTGGATACGAAGAAGATTAGACCAAATAGTAACACACAATTCGTGGATTCCATTTTCCAAAATAAGGAATAGTGTTCTCAATTGTATCAATGCTTTTCTGTTTTACTGGAAACAGTAGAGTTGGAAATTTCACTCATCAGACCTAACTAGACTTTCAGAAGCAGGGGGCTCGAATCAGAAAGCCAGGCAGATATTTCATGGCACATCTGGGGACATGAGCTTTAGCTGTAAGCAAAACATTTAAAAAGAGTGTTTGGTTATATATATTTTTTAATTTTTAAAAACTCAGAAAAAATATCGACATATGTTCTCCCTCATATGTGGATCCTAGAACCAGACTCTGAAAAATAAATATGCAACCAGACATAACTACAGGAACCAGGATAATGGAAAGGAAACAGGGAGGTAAAGGAAAAGGTCTTAATAAGGGAGATATGGATAAACGGGGGGAGGGAAGGGTATACAAGGAACCTAGGGGATAAAGGGAAAGGAGCTCAAAAGAGGTAGGGCCATAGGAGAAGGGTATTGGTAAGGGAGAAAGGGGGGAATGGGGGCACCTTAAGTGGGAAAACCATGCTGGAGGGGTGAGACAATGAGAGAAATAAACAATGCCTAGCTAGTTTTGAAAACCAGAGGAAACCATATTACTCCTACAGTCTACTGACAAATTATACATAGGAGATCAAGAAATGTATGTCTAGGTAAGGTTTATCTTAGAACAACTGGTTTTTGCCCAAGATTTAGCTACATGACACACAGTAATTAAAAATACCAGACTTGTGGAACTAACCTTCTTGTATGTTTAACAGACATACTTTGAGGTCTATAATAATTTGGTCAGAGGGACATAAAGGACACTTTTTGCTCCTTGCCCTCCTAGGTCGACTAGTTCCAGGGGACTATGAGCATCTCTCAAAATGTCCTATAATGGTGGTGGGTCACCTATCCTCTTGATCAAGGAGGCCCAGGAGACCCCACCAGGTGGACTTGAACCACTGTCCAGTCTACAAAGAAGAGGGTCAACACAGAGGAATCATTTCCTCCATGCTTCCAAGTGAAGCCAACCATGGTCGAACTGGACCTTTGACTTATCTTCACATAGGCGGTACTGGTAAAAGAAAGGAGACAGGGGCTCCTCCCAAGCCCATGTGACCCCTGAGGAACAGATCCTCAAATGAGCTTAAGAGTAAAAATAAATTGGTTTATTTAGACCAACTGTATGGCCTTAAACACCCAAAAGGAACGTATAACCAAAGATTAAAGGGGCCAATATAATTTCATAAGCGTCCATATGTATAGCTAAAGGCTACATAACAAGCAACAAT